TGGCTAACCTTGCTCTGAACCCTTCCCCCAATACCCCTTCCCTCCTGTCCCCCCAGCAGGATCATGTCAAATTCAGATCCCCCTCCATCTGACCCAGGGTAACGGCGAAAAACTACATCAAGCCTGGAAAAACAAAAATCTTCTTTTACTCCAGTGAATTATTTATGTTTGAGATCTCACAGCTTCCCATGTAACAACAATAATATTCCGCTCATAGAGTTTTTTCCCCCTCAATTGCAGTGGCCTGGGAACTCATTTCTTTAATCTCCAGCAGGAATTACATAGTTTAGATCCAACCGGGGCGACCTGCGTGTTTTCTATGATCTTTTTATCTCTTCATCTGTCTTTTGTTGGGATAACCCATTACAGAGCATCTATAAAATGTTGTAATAATTGTTGTGGAGCTCATGCTTAGTTTTGTTTAATTGGGGTCAGTCAGAAATGCACACACTCGTTTGAAAAACCTCAGGTAGAACCTGCCACGAGGCAGTGACGTCTTTGCTGCTTTGGAACTAGCGGACTATGGGGTTGATTTATGAAAGGCCAATAGGCTGCTCACCTCATTCACTAAACTAAGGAAACATTCCCTTGCAATCTGAAAATGTCCTTGCAAAGTGAACAGCCTATTGGCCTTTAGCAAATGAACCCCAATTAATCAAAGAATGTCATCTTCCATTTATGTGTGTCAGGGACACTGAGACTGAGCTGCACAAAGCACTGGTATAGCTCATAACTTTCTTTTCACTACCTTGTCATGCCTGTTCACAGCAGAATACTGCACGCAGAGCAGCAGTTGCCAATTCATTCAGCGCTGCCTGGCTTCCTCTAGACCGGCATTTGTCAACCAGTGTACCCCCTAAGGTTCCTCCAGAATTTGCTAGGGGGGCCATCTCCACTGACCATTAATGGAAGGAGGTCCTTCTCCATTGAATGCCAATGAAAATGCTGATACACAGGCTTCTGTGCAGCTTGTTTTAGATGTCATCCAGGCTTGCCTACCATACTTTTACCTTGATTTACTTTTGTGAGTATGTTTTTATCGTTACTTATTATAAATAACTAAAATCATCTTGATATTTTCTTTTTGTACAGCAAGACTGGAAAGTGGTTCAGCACCCCAAGCCAAGTCAGGGCTTTATTGCTTTACTCAGTCTAACACAATCAACAGACATACATACGGACATAGTAATGACCTGATCTATGTGCTGTTCCTTTATTGTCTAGTCAGCATATAATGATTTCAGAGGTGGAAGGGATGGGGCTGAACTGTGAGAGATAGGGGATCCAGGGAATATCCGATTGCCTTATGGATCAGGAAGGATTTTTTTTCCCCCTGCTGGAGCAAATTGAACCATGCTTTTTAGGGGGTTTGTTTGCCTTCATCTGTATCAACAGTGGGTAATTGTGGGCATAGCATTCTGTTTAGGCTTTTCTTTTTTTCATATCTCTATAGACTGAACTTGATGGACATGTCTTTTTTCAACCTGACTAACTATGTAACTATGATATCCATTATGAGAGTTACACGGGAGATGTAGAACATTTTGAGATCCTAAGATTATGATTTTCCCTGAAAATGTATCTAGACCCATAAACAAAAATTTTATATGTTAACTAAATATGAAAACTAATAGAGCCACCACATCAAAGGACTGGTAGGCTGCAATATTTTTTAATTTTATTTGTGGGCTTAGATTTGCTTAAAGTTCTACTTTTAATTGTTCTGAGTGAACAAACAGTCCATTTATCACCAGGATTTGCATTCTGCATATTTTGCTTATAATATTTGGCCAATAAGCAATCCTGCTGTGGGGGACAATGAGCACTCCTGGCTGTTAGAGGCAAGAAAAACTTTGTTAATAAGTTTGCTTATGTGCATTTCTCCAGGACAAGCAGACTTCTCCCTCTGTATCATTCTCAGGTGGATCCAGTATGTACCCATCTATGGCTACTTATTTGTGTTGTGACAGCTGGTCTGGGCTAAGCCATCTGTCTTGTCATTTATGCCAGTCAAGCTCTACAGTGGTCATGTCCAGTTGCTTCTCTGGCAGGACCTGTGGCTGATCTCTTGGCATGTGTGCCCTACTTTTCCCATTGGTGACTAGCCATTGAACTCCACTAGTGAAGAATGATGACACATGATTTAACCCACGTATGCTTTTTTTTCACCATCATTTTTCCTTTATACTAGAATATAAATGTCAGATGAAAGGTTTAGTGTTATATAAATGCTTTTGGAAGTTAAATGGTACAATTGCACTATTTTGTTCATGAGATCAAAATGGGGTAAAGTTGGGGAGGAACAAGGGGCAGAAGGATATGTTTCCAAAAGTGGGTAATTTGGGAGCCATGATGTTTTGCTAACTACCTAAATTTCACTATTGTGGAATTACTACTGTGGACATCTGCCCATCACACCTATATGTGCTTGTTGTACGCCCCATTCCAAAAAACATGTATATTAATAAGAAGTTCACCCCTACCACCAGCACCTTTGCAGTTATAACAAGTTCATCTCTTCTGGGAAGGGTTTCTACAAGATTTTGGGGTCTGGGGTAAAATGTGTGGCTCTTTGGTAAAATAGCATTAGCATACTCAAGTTCTGATGTTGGTGAAAAAGACCTGGCTTGTCATTGGCGGTCCAATTGTATCCCAAAGGTTTTTACAAGAATGAGGTCGGGGCTCTGTGCTGTTTCCCTGTAGCAAAGTAGCATCATGTCTTTATAGAACTGGCTTTTTGCAAGCTTCAGTATCTTGCTAGTTGGCCCCACTGGCTTTCAAAACACCTGAACAATGCCTGCATCCAATCAGATTGTTCAGGTTTTTTGACAGCCAGTGGGGCCAACTAGCAGGACACTGAAGGCCCAGTGGGCGATTCCTCCATCCACACAGTTTAGCGTAGATGGAGGAACCTGTTGCACTTTTTCCATCTGACCATAGAAAATATGCAGATAATCTATAGGTGTATGGCCAGCTTAAGGGCTCAGTCACACAGGCCCAGAGGACTGTTTACCGCTCATCTCTGCACCTGGGAGCCACAGAGGTTGCATACGGTCTGCCTGTCCAAGTCAACAACAAACTGTATACAGGTTCAGATGTACACCTCTGGATGCAGAGTGTCTGCGTCCATGGGCTTCAACATTCACCAGCATACAGCCACGGCCTGTTTTTTTTTTTTTTGTGGTACATGGACCTCTGTGCTTGTGGGAATGAGCCCTAAAGCTAAAAGCAAGTGTTGTGGATGCCCACCATCCCACCTAAACCCACCTTAAATGAAAAGTACTAAAAAGGAGTATTATAAAGCCTCTTATTAATTCAGTTGTTTTGTACGTTTAGTATGTTGCTGCTAGAATTAAACATTGCACTGAGTAGTTCACTCCTAGCAGATTAATTTCTAAAGTGGGTGAAAACATTTTACATGTAGAACTTACTGAAACGGTCATCTGTTCTTTCATGACAAGTCTGCTGGGGCCTATAAATGGGGTATATACACTTGTTGTAAAGCTTGTCTGATCTACAAGTCAATGAGCAGCTAAAGGGAAACTATAGCCAGAAAGAGGAATTCAAGTCTCCCCCCGCTCCCAACTTTGATACAGTATAAATTTTGTTCTGGGTCATGAACATTTGTTCAGATTTGAATGGAAATCGTTGAGAATAGTTAATGCTAAATTGTAGTTACTGTATGATGTAGATACATTTATCTAAAAAAAAGTCACAATGTTATATTTTATTGGACCGCCTTTAGCGTTATTACGGCACGCATTCGCTGTGGCATTGTTTTGATAAGCTTATGCAATTTCACATTTATTTCCATCCAGGGTTGTGTTAATTGTTCAACAAGATTGTAGTTGAAGTACTTGTAGTGATGATGGGAGAGTCGGACCACTGTGGTTGTGATGATGGGACAATTGTGATAAGTATCCTCCAGCACATCCCAAGGATTCTAAAAGGGGTTAAGGTCTGGACTCTGTGGTGGGCTCTGACCTATTTGCTTAGCTAAATCCAGGTGGTGACTCTTTTTTTTGTAGACAGGCGGTTTATATCTGGTATCTGCATATTCATACTCATACATAGAACATATAATTTTGCATTACAAGCATTAAAAATTAGAAACATTGGCATAACCACTGTGTACAATTTTTAACAAAATTTGTCAAGTCATTGATGGAGCCATCGTGTGCTCTGATGAAATGTTGGCTTTACAGGGGTCATTTGTATCACTGGCAATATGACACATAATAAAAACACACAGATCACTTTTCAATTTCCAAATATTTTAATTTCGGAATCTTGGAAAAAAAAAAAAAAGATACTAAAAAACAGCAGATTAGCATGTGTCAAGTTTGGGTGAAAGATGACATTGCTATAAAATGGATACTTGGTATGCTTATTGATGGTTGTTTTCAGTCTAAATAAAAATGGCAAAGCAAATCCTGTTACGTTTTTCTATTTTTAAATATTAAAAACAAAACAAGAAAAACCAAAACACCTGTACAAAAAACCTGATTTTCTTCCAGCCCTTGAAAAAATAGCTTTCCCTATGCTTCAGCCTCAAGAGGGTTACCGCAAAACCTACTTGATTTAAAGCAGACCTAACCTGTTTTAGCCTGCGACCACAACCTAATCAAAACTGCACAATTCTTACCGGTCAACAGCTCCCCATACCTGGACATAGGTGTGGTGGTGAGTTGCGTTCAGCCGGAGGCAGCCAAGCGGGTCTGCCTTTGATACAGACCACATATCCTGCCTATGACTGTATATGGTTAACTACAGCCAAAGGGAACCCAGAACAACTAATAATAATCAGCATACGGAGTGGGGGTGTTGGTGAAACTATAGGTTTTAAGGGTCAATTATACAGTATGTCCCTATTAAAAAAAAAAAAAAATTAATAGGGATACTTTGACATTAAGAATTGGGAACTTGGCTTCTGGAATTTTTTTTTTTTGCCTTCAGAGTCCTTTGACATATTAAGAAGCTGTTGCCGTCCATTTAAAACATCAGTTTTGGGCGAACCCCACTTAAAAAAAAGTAGAAACAAAAAACACACGACAACAAACAACTGCAAAAACGACCACTAACAGTTACAAACCTTAATCAGCGGCTCATTTCCAGAAAGGTTCAAATATGCAGGAGGCTAGAGTACCCACAACGAAATTGGTGCCCCCCCATGAATGTCTTTTACAACGACGTTTAAATATTTATGTTACCAGCGGACTGAAACAATAAAACTACTAAAACATAGAAAATCAAACAATCTTTGCTCGTCCTCCCATTCCAGTTCATCAATATCTGGGCCTGAATAAAGGCCAACTCGTAGAGGCCACCTGGAGGGTCCATTTAATTTCAGAGGCTTTTTCGCCTTGTTGGAGAGATGCCGCTCCTCAATCTTTTCTGGATCGTTTAGGGGGGTCTCACTCTGCTCCACTGAAAGATTCCCGGGCACGAAAGAGGAGTCTATGTTCGTCCTTTAAAGGTGTTCATGCAAGTGTAAGACCCGGAAAACCGGTGGATTTCTTCAAGTGCTGACTGAGGGAGGATGCTGCGAAAAGAAGGCAGGAGGGAACACTAAATAAACAAACTGTATGGTGTTTGGTCTGCATCAAAAGGGATTTGAAACTACCTGGGGGTTTGATGTATACAAAAGGGGAAGGAAGTGCTACTGTTTTACAGCTGACAGTTGTTTTCACAAGAGTCTAGGAACAAGACGGACAGGATGTAGCAGAAGAGTCTTTTAAGACAGACACTAGGGAATACTAGAATGTGCTGATGGGACAGCTTGGAGACCACATCGGAAAAGGGACACAAAGCAGCAAGAAAACAAAAAAAAGAGGGGAGGACGGTGAGAAAATAGCAGGTGTAGCCACAACAGTAAATTCATTCCATCCTACACACATTTTCTAGGCATATCATGCTAATAAATAAGACTTTGCTCAGCGAATGACTGCTCCCATTACTAAAATATTGGGAAAGCTGGTTTTGGCTTGGATTTGGCCCAGATCTCATTTTTCCTTCCCATTGGTTTTACTCCCACTTAAAAACACATTCTTTTAAGTTTCCAGAGACATAAATTGGCCCTTGCAAAATCTCTATTTTTGTGACATTTATACGTGACCATTGCAGTTGTACTCGGGTCTATAAATAGACTCTGTTCTCAATAAATACGCTTGGAATGTGCACCATTACTCTTATTACATAGGGGTGGCTGGGAAAAGCAGTCACATGGGACCTCTCGGAAAAACACTTATTAAAGGAAGAAACTGCCTGGGATGCAAGCTGTCCTTCAATGAACTGTCACTCTAAACATATGGTCCTCCCCACCCCCATGTCAACTGTCCTCAAAAGGAAATGTGTACTGTAAGAAAAGTGTAGACAGTCATTTTTTAACTCTCCTTTTCAAAATGCTAGTTGCCTGGTGGCCATGCTGATCTGACCTCTTCATTACCTTGAGTTATTTAAAGTATGTATGCAAAGCATGTTCCTGCCTCACTAGCTGCATGTTGCATGACTCATAATAAGGCCAGGGACAGACAAGTGGCTTTTTAAGAAAAATATCTGCAATGGCAAGCTGTAGATTTCTCTCAGTATTTGTTTCCTCTTGAGGATTCGATCTTAATTACAAACTGTTTAGATGGCCATTTTATGGTCTGAACCAACCTGTCAAGTCTGATGCCACCAGTTTGTTGTGAATGGATAGAACAGACTTTCTAGATGTTGGTTTAATTTAATAGATTCTTGCCAGCATTGTGCAGTATTTTGGCTTTTTCTCTGGAATATTACAAGGAGCGATGTGTTTACCTTTTCAAGATGACAAGTAGGTGCATTGTCCATGGGAGTAATAGGAGAGCATGGTTCTTCTGAACAGCTTCTACAGTCCTTCTGGCCACCGTTTCGGGCTTCAAAGGTGGGAAAATGTTGGGGAATCTGTGAGATAAGGTAAAATAATGAGAAACCATGTATTGTATGTTCGTCTCTAGCCAAGACTAATTTTCCTTAGTTTGGGTAGGCACAAGTTCGACAGCAACATTTTTTTTTTAGATAGATAGATAGATAGGAGATCTATCTATCTTTTATCATCCTTCAAATAAGGTCTTGGTGACAACTTTGTCACTGTGGCAGTAAGTGAGTATAAACCTCTATAGGGGAGCTAACAATTTTTTAACCTTCCCCAATCCTACTATAAAAACATGGTTTTAGTGGACGAGTTTGCCTTTTGGAGACATTCCCCTTCACTTTCTGTCCTAGTAACATTGTTGCCACCCAGTAATATATTTTGCAAGTCTTGTGTACACTTGTCTAAAATTAACCAGAGGACACCAGCATGTGAAATATTTTCAGTATTACTGTTGGCGACCTTTATAAAATGTTTTCTCAAAGGGCATGGCACAGGAGGAAGGGTGGATACAAGAGGATTATCTAAAGGTGGTAAATGGTGACTAATTATTGACACAGTAAAACATGGTAATAAGTAGAGCCCAAGCGTTTGGACACCTTTAAAGTGTATATAAACACTGTAAATCTTCAATTGCTCCCTTTCGGTCTATTAAATATACCATTGAAAGCATTTTGTTATCTGTTCCATAAGTGGAGGAAAGAAAAAGACACGTTAATTCTTTCAGAAATCCAGAGCCGTTCTATGGACTCTGCCGTGTTCTCTAGCATTACCAGCCCTGCCCATTTATCATTTGAACCACAGAACATCCTTCAATATTATGGAGTTAAAATAGAAATCTGATTGGTTACCACTGGTTACACAACTTTTTACACTTTGACAGCACTTTGTAATATTTTACCAAATAATCTTGTCTTTTAAAAGGGAGAAATATAAGACTGAATTTGCTAGAAAGTTTTGGAAAAAGCTAGTTTCCTGGCTGTTTTGCTAATGCACATCAGCGACTCCACTACCTAATTCAGGGCATCCAGGGCATAAGCATGACAGCCTCCATATTTATCTTGGCACAGCATGTAGCAATCACACTAGAATCAATGATAGATCTGTCAGGTGCAGAAGGGACAATAAGTTTAAAGCTACATGGGGGGCAATTTTCAGTAGTTCAGTCAGGCTACTGCAATCTCTAGCCATTAATAACCAATAGTAGCAAATGATCCCTAAACATGCATAAACAAATATGGCTCCCTATGATGTAAACTATACAGGAAGGATGTTGTAGTAATCGCTCCTATATAACTGGAGCAGGGGGGCTAAGGTTGTAAGGAGTAGCAATCATGGTTCAGTAACTTGCCAATCGATTGCGGCACCAGCCTAAGCTACAGTAAACATGAGTGGTAGTTCTCATATCCAGGTGCATCAGAGGACCCCCAAGAGTGTCACCGCTTGTGTTCACACTACCTGTCCAATCAAAACAACTGCATGGGCTTGAAGGTGGTTTTCATGCATTTAAAAAGTGTTACCACCATTTGGCACATCAGCCACAGAGAATGCTTTTTAAATGCCTGCCAAGTGCTTAACAAATGCCAAGAAAACCTACAGGTGTCGGTAAAGAGTATCTAGCCTGAATCATATTAACCAGTTTCATCTTTTTCTTGCTCGGTCTTCAGTAAACTGAATCTAGTTGATTGTTAGCGGTTCCACTGATGGCAGATCCGCTATGAAGATTCTGGTACTTACCGAACTCTCATTCCCTGGAACATCTCCGTGTTGGTATGAAAGGGTAATACTGTTGTGGTGTTGACTCCTGGGCAGTCCAGAAGCCCCAAGGTCAAACTCTCCATAAAAGCAAAGGAGGAGGCCTTGGAAGTGCAGTAGTCGATGGCTCCTGGGATGGCTGATAAAGCCAGAACAGAGTTTATACAAACAATGTGTCCATTTTGTAACTCCAACATGCGTGGCAGAAAAGCTTTTGTAGTCTGCAATAAAACAAAGACATCTGTGTAAATTACATATACAGCCAGACCTTTAGCTTCCAGTACAACCAGCCAATTCTCTCTTCTTGCTATGATCAAATTTCTAATAGCTCTTAAAATTCCACTGGTCATTTATTGGAGCAGAGTAAGCCACTTTCGATTTAAAAGGATCATTCCACTTAAGGAGATGATGGTAGGCTAAATGCTTCACTGGCATCCTATGTCCCTTAGGGAATCCAAGTGGGCCATCACTCTGCTACTCCTCCTAATGCATTGTACAGAGAAGCTAGTGAAAAATTCAACAGGATTTGTGATCCAGTCTAGTGAAGCTCGGAGTGCTGGGGGATGCTGGGAACACAGGTGCAGAAATGTATAAAAAGGAGTCTCCAGAATACACAAGAAGCATGAGGGTCAGATAGCCCTGCAGCACCTACCCAAATGTGAAGTATTAATACTTGGTTCTCTATCCATGTAACCTATGGTTTCCCATCAGGTCATGTTTTCAGATTTTTCAAGATCTGTACATTATGAAGAAACCCTTCAAATCATGGCTTGTTACTAATTGGTGTTGAGAAACACTGTTGGGCCAGCGCTCTTACATGACGCCCATAGCCATATGTAAGCTACCACTCCACAGAACTTTCCTTTCACTCATGGTGGCTAAAAGGAGCAGTGGAGGTGCAAAAAAGGTAAGTCAAGTACCGGTATATGTTGCTGGGAATGCCTGCATGTAAGTGACCCCGGTTGCTTTGCCCTTTATGGGCAAAGTAAAAGTTAAATTTATAGTCTATATAAAAGGCTCACTGCCTTAAACAGAGGAAGTCTTACCCAAAACTGTCCCAGTGTGTTTATGTGTTGGGACTTCAGAAGAGCATCATCATCACTATCTATTAAGCTCTTCCCATGGACTACTGCGGCGTTGTTTACCAAGATTGTAACGTCTCCCACCTAATGGAGAAGAAGAAACAAAGAAAAGGTAAAAAATGATCATGTAAGATATCATTTATTGCATGTTGGTAATCTTACTGAAGAACACCACAGACAACCTTCTCTCAGCTTGTAATGGCTGCCAACAGGGTACAGCAGAACATTTAAAGTATATCCACACCTGAAAACAATGTAATATATTGCAGTATACCAGACTTTGGATGTGGTGACTGAATTCGTTTTCTTTTTTAGCTGGTTTAATAGCTTTGAAACATCAGTTAGTTTTAGCTCAAGGGCAATATCTAGGAAAGCTGATAACCGTCTTTAGGATAACAGTTAAGGAACAGGAAGTTACAAGGACATTGGACTTTAAGATCAACAGGTATTTTTTGTACGTACAGGAAATATACCCAACCTGAAAAAAGAAAAATCAATTGCAGCCACCACATCGAAGAACTGGTAAATTTGCAATATATTACACTTTTGTTCTCAGGTTCAGCTATCGTTTAAGGCACATATAGGAGGCTGGTCCTGCCCCACCTGCGTTGGGCTTGGCTCAGCTGTTTGGTCTACTATGTTCTAGAGACATGCCGCTATTGTTACTGTTACTGACCCTAAAAGTAAATGTAGACATATATTGAATGAGCACCAGACCAAATGGGTTGACAAAGTCCAACAAGCCTTTAATTATTTAATCACAAAGGAAAAAACAGCCTTTTGGTGGTACCATTAACGCCAAGGTCAACGTTAAAAAGATCTTGGAACCATGGGAAGTTCTACCAGTCAACTTCAACCCTCAATTAATAGACATATGAGCCCCTAAATCTTGTGCTGGTGGAAAAAAATGGTGGAATTCTGGTTTACCTAAAGCTCTATGGTGATCATCTGCTTTCGCCCATTACTCCCCCCCCCCCACCCCTCTTACCTCCTCCCATCCCCGGCTTTTTCACCCCTTCCGTCTTATTATCCTCCACAAACTTATGGTCAGTACTATGACTTGCTGATGTATCCCACTAAAATATTGTATTGAGATGTATCATGTGCATTATTGCCACCTCATGGATACTGCGGGTCCTCCAGGTTTCTAATCTGTACATTTTAAACCTACCAATAAAAATACCGAACAAGAAAAGTGTATGAAAAACAGAACAATGAACATTTATCTTATTTGCTCTCTTTTAGTCTGTTGAATACACTATTGAAAGTGCTTTGTTATACGAGTTCAATACACGCAAAGAAAAGCGGTTGTCCTGTCCTGCTGGCCTAAAAATCTCAGACAATGTCATCAGCCTTGAACAGTACACCTCAACTACAGAACACCTTCCCCAATGTTATGGAGATGAACGTGGGTGGTGTTCTGCAGTCCCAAGACAATTCCTTTCCTAGGGTGACAACGTTGTTCCTTTATGGATACAGTATAGGGCAGGGGTGGTTAAACTCCGGCACTCCAGCTGTTGTGGAACTACAAATCCCATGAGGCATTGCAAGATTCTCACAGCCATAGGCATGGTTTCCAGACACTGATGCATGTTGGACTTTGTAGTTTTAACACAGCTGGAGGGCCAGAGTTTGCCCACCCCGGGTATAGGGAGTAAGTGTTGTCCCCCCAAGGTCAGGAAGTGCGTTATTCACAGGATCACCAGGCGAAAAGAAATTCCTTAAAAAGAAGCAAGAACTAATGAAGCAAGCACATCCACATTTAAAGAGAATAATATATTTTATTTCTGTTCTTGGGGTTAGATATATTTTAAGATACTCAGAATTTTGAAAGCCAGAGCACAACAATCTCACCTTTTCCCTCACAGATTTCGCTTGTTGGTAAACTTCCTCTCTGTTGCCAACGTCGCAAATAAAATAATGGCATTCTGTGCCCATCTGCTTAATTTCCTCAGCAGTTTCCTTGAGACATTTCTCTGTCCGACCCCATATTATTATCTGCAAAGAAGTAGAACAATGACACATTAATCATTGTATGTCCACACCATCCATCATCCTGTACATCGAGAGGGGTCATATGTGAAATAGCACAGCACAAAATTCAATTTACAAGCAAGGTTTTGCGGTCTCTGCCATGAAGGAGCAAAATGACAGAGTCTCTTACTGGTCCACCTTCCTGACCCTCATTCCAGTGCTCCACCACCGTACTAGCCTTCCATCAGAGCCGGGAGTTGAACTCTGTTCCATGTTGGAGCTTACACAAGGTTGAATAAGTCATCCTCCTTGTTGGGGGGACACTGCATTCTGGGATGAGGTCATATGTTCCCCCCCATTCCCAAAGGAGACAGGTATTTGATGGCTCAGACTGAGTAATAGATGGACTGTCCTTTTAAAATGAATGTGAATTGGTGCTGAAACGGTCCTTCCTTCTGGAGGGTGGCTACTTTTGTTCCCCATGGTCCCTGTGTGTGTTGTAAAGTAGTCACCGCTCCAAGCTCACTCCCGTGATGGACTACAATCTCGTAGTTCACTCATTCGTATTGAGATTTTAGTCCATCACAGTAGTGAGCTTGGAGCGGTAACTACTTTACAACACCTACAGGGACCATGGGGAAGAAAAGTAGCCCCCTTCCAGAAGGAAGGACAGTGTCAGCACCAATTCAGAGATGATTTGAGGAGCTACAGCCGAGTGATACACACATAAGATACATTTATATTAATAGGTAAGGTACTTGAATGTATTATTTTTAAGATTTAACTAATGAGTGTTAGTGTCACTTTAAACAAAATCAGTACATGATGGACCCCGATTGGTTGCTAAAGGTGCTGCATATTGCCCACTAAACTGATTTAATAAATATGCTCATACGAATATACACACACGAGTCACATGAACTTCAATTCACCGACTGTTCACTCCTCATTAAACATTTCTCAAAAAAAGAGAGAAAACATGTGTCCCGGTCACTCCTCCACAATCACAGTTCTCGATCTAATTATATCCATCTTGTGAGTGCAGAACATGTAGGTCACCATGTCTTCATGATAATTACCAGATGTCTCATAACATATAGGGCACAAGTTCAGCACCTGGATTGATCCTGGCTTAAAACGGAACAAAGGGAACATTGACATCATGCTACGGAGGACCCTGTAAAAACCAATAACCTGTCATCTACGGGACACGTCATCTAAAAAGGTGTCACAGGTGAAGGCAGAGCAGCCCGGGGTTCTCCTGGTGCCTTAGGAGCTGCACAATGAGCAGGGGGCTCTGAATACAGTGTTCCCCGCCGCTCAGCATCCTTACATAAGTGCACCAGATCCCTCCTTTCTTGATGAAAGTGGCAGGCTTATTTAAAAAAAAAAAATGAAAATTGCTCCGCCGATGGCAAAAGGAGCTTTATGGACAGATAGCTTCCTCCTCTGGACAGGATCCAGGCACTGTTCTCTTTGATTATCTCCGCACTGAACATGACACACTCTACTTTCAAATAATTAGTGACCAGAAAATTGTCTAGGGCAGGGGCCCGGTGAGGCGGTAACTCCCTGCTGAGTTGGGGCTGCCCTGAAAGGCATCCTGGCCTGACGTTACCTCTCGCTGACCCCCAGGGGACTGGCAGGCCTGAGAGCAGGTGGAATGTACTCACGTTATAGAGGACACTGTAAACCACCTGATAAGTTTACGATATACCCACCCATGATCTACAGGGGGGGGGGGCACCTCAACAGATTGCAAGCTTGAAAAGTTAGGCTTGTTACCCTTTTTTTTGCGCACAATGCCATTTGCTTTTTAGCGGAACTCCAGCCAAAAAGAGCAAGATCAAAATAAAAGCCCATTAAAAGATTTTTTTTTAAAACAGCTTTTGCTTCAAAATTTACCATCGGTCCAGAGATTTTCCCTGCAGTACTTTCTCTGCCACTAGATGTCCTCAGTCTGATGGCCAGCATCATTCAAGCCACTTCTTACTGAACCCTCTCCCAGCCTGCGATTGGACAATGAAAGGCGAAGTAGCGCAGTGATGAGCTCATCTGTCACCCTGCTTTCTCCAATCAGCATGCCCCTTTTCAGAACTTAAATTAATTGGATCCTTGTGCTGCTTCTTCCTCACACTCCAGTTTTGTTGTACAGGGAAGCAAGAGACCGGGTCAATTTCAGGTACTTACACTGCTTGGTTTGCTATGGGACACTGATGATTACAGAACTACATTAATATGTGTATTTTATATCTGCCTAGCAGCATACACATAAAAAGTCTGTCATTGGTCAGCATGCTGTAGAGAAAGACCCATGCTCTGTGTGGAAGCAGTGGTCTCTCTCTAGAGGTCAGATCTGGCCACAACCGAGTCAGACCTATAGCTCTGCAATCATCAATGTCAGGCTGGGCACACACCTTACAACCATCGCAAGACTTTTGTCTTGCGATGGTTGTAAGGTACTTAAAAAAACGTACGATCTGCCTATGTTGCATAGGCAGATCGTACTTGCAATGATCGCAAGCCACGCCCCCTGATGGGCGGGCTTCCGATGACCGCAATGCTGAACGGGCAGTGTGCGCTTGTGCACACCGGCCCGTCCGCCTTTTATCTTACGAAAATGCTACAGACCCGCCAAACATCGTACGATGCTCGGCGGGTTTTTGAACATGTCCGTAAGTTAAAAGTCGTGCGACCTTACAGTAGTAGAGGTCGCACGGCTTCCACACACCTTACGATAATCGTACGATCGCGGGATTTCCCCCGATTATCGTAAGGTGTGTGGGGACCTTCATGCTCCCTGCTGAATGGAGAGCTACAGATCATCTCCTAATCGATAACATTTTAGGTCTTTGATTGCTTTGCAATTCCAAATTGCTACATGTATGACCAGCGTTAGATACAATGAGCCACCATAAAGAATGTTTCCAAAGTGGATTATTTCAGTGACTCCCAACCTGAAAGAAGTCATTTCAGGGAGGTGCCCTCTGTCCTCCTCCCCCCCACGCAAAAGGGAAGAGAGCACACCCCTAAAATGATGGCAGAGAGCAAAGAAGCTATTGCTTCCCATGCTAGCTGATGTTTTTTTAGTATTCCGACAGCTGCTGCCATCAGAATAAAAAAAAAAACGGCATAGGAACAAATAGCTAGATTGCTATTGCAAATTGAAATAGCTAATAGCAGACTACCTATTGCACCCGCCCTCTGCTGCTGTTAGTCAGTAAAGGAGGACCTGATGGTGAACTTCAGGTACACCTCTGCTGATTGATAGGAGCAGAGGGTGGGTGCAATAGGTAGTCTGCTGTTGGCTATTTCAATTCGCAATAGCCAATAGCAATCCAGCTATTCATTCCTATGCCGTTTTTTTTTTTTTCTGACTGACGGCGGCCCCGATGTCAAGAACAATAAAACAAAAAATATCAGACAGCACAGAAAGGTTTACTCCGCTAGATAGAGCAGAGTAAACCTTTCAGGAAGAAAATGTTTCTCTCCCGGTTGTCCAGGAGCCGCTATCTTATAGCGGGAGACTCCCGTAACATCCAGGAGAGTGGAGATATCTGCAAAGTGGTTGCTTAAAATGACAGGTCCCCTTTAGTTATATAGCTAAAAGGTTATGTGAAGAGGAAATAACTATAAATACAGCTCATGTGTTTTCTGCAGTCAGCAACACAGCCCCCCACTCCAATTCCGCTTTATATACACAGTGCAGGAAGTCTAATGAAAAAATATTTCCACTTAGGTCTGTACTTGGAAAAGTCACGGCTGCTTTTACAGTTATTGGAGAGTTGCACGTGGACAAAGGAAAATGTAGAATGTGTTTTTGCTCAGAACACAATTTCAATTGCTGTTCACCTGAAGGGCATTTATTATATTTATTCAACTTTTTATGACTGCACTGCAACCTTGTAGCCTCCCTTTGCAGTCAGTCAGTTGCCGTATACCAGGCTGTACAATGTGTGTCCCTGCGGAATGAATGCAGAGATTAAACCAATGACAACTAGGAACTACCTTCAAACAGGTCTGTGAAGGTTCCCATTCATCCAGGTCATGGTATATCTGTAAAAAAGAAGTCAAGGCAACTGGACTTGCTGTATTTTTGTTAAACAATAATACAGCAAGTCCAGTTACCTTGACTTCTTTTTTTACTGTAGACTTGCACTATGCAGCATTATAGAGCTGGAAGCAGATCATGCATATCTAATGAGCAAATATGTCAGCAGCTGTAGACCTCCTCCTAAAAATGCTAGTTGCCTGGCTGTCTCTGGCATCAATACAGACACTGACCCAGACCACCACAAGAGTTGGTCAGACAGGATAGAATTTTGGGCGATTTCTGCTGAATTAACTGAAATCCAAGCCATGGATGGCCCTGCAAGCACCATCTAGCTAAACTACGGCCAGCATTAAGAGCAGAGTGCATTTCTGGCAGATCAAAAGAGATTTTTTTCTGTACTTGCAGGGCTTTAAAAGGATAAAATATGGAAAATGTGGATGTATTGGAGATGCACTGCATGTTTTTCTTTGCCTTGACATATACACTTCAAATCCCCCGCAGGGACTTATCACAATTTGTGCTTGAATAAAAAGATTCAGTCCCGACAAAGATTGTCCAGATATCTCCACTGGAGTAAGGAAGTTTAGGTGGCCCTACCATTAGGACATGCTGCAACTTATCCTCTCCATTTAAATCAATGTTTAAAACTTTAGCCCATCCAAAAGTGGTATTTTAGTTATAGGTGAAACCTGGTGGGCTAAGTCAGCCCCTAGCTTCATATGCCTTGGATGCTCCAACTGAGACAAGTCAGCCCCTAGTTTCATATGCCTTGGATGCTCCAACAGAGACAAGTCAGCCCCCAGCTTCATATGCCTTGGATGCTCCAACTGAGACATGTCAGCCCCCAGCCTCATATGCCTTGGATGCTCCAACTGGGATAAGTCAGCCCCCAGCTTCAGATGCCTTGGATGCGCCAACTGAGACATGTCAGCCCCTAGCTTCATATGCCTTGGATGCTCCAACTGAGACA